ATTTCTCTTCCCTGGTGGTGTTGTAGGGGGGGGGGCCCGGGCCGCTTTGTTCTTTTTGTTCGTCCTGCTTAAGTTATTTTTCATCCGTTCATTTATCCTCCATTCCCCCCACCCACCCCAGTCGCTCGGATCATTGCTTCTTTGGTTTCTTGGCCTTAACATGCTTATTTTTCCCTTCTGCTTTTATCTCTCTCTTTTTCATTTATCCTCTCATACTTAGAGGGAGTCAGAGAGAGAGAGAGAGAGAGAGAGAGAGAGAGAGAGAGAGAGAGAGAGAAGGAGAGAGAGGGGGACACACACACACACACACACACACACACACACACACACACACACACACACACACACACACACACAAACATATCATACATATACACGTGTGAATAGCCTCTAAATATATTTTTAATACTTAGCATGTTACACACACACAAATTACACAACATACACATTGGTCCCATTGGATAAAACGATATGAGGAAAGCTGTATCGGTTGAGTTTGTCAGAAGTAGACTTGACTATGACTTTGTACATGTAGAGTTACATTATAAACAAAAATCTCCATAGCCTCATAACGATATTCTCTCTGTCTCTAAACACACACAAATCACACAACATACACATTGGATAAAACAATATGAAAGCTAAAAGAGCAGATAAAAAATGAATGACCCAGGACATATTAAAACTAGAGAAGACAGTCAAAATCAAACATGGAAAAGTACATCTTTAGCTATGGTCAACACCCAAAAGCTATAGTATTTGGTCTAATTACTCTAATGCTTGCTTTTCTGCACCAAAGGGTGTGACATCATAGCATTTTGAAAACCAATTTCATCTTATTTAAATCACATGGGTCTCAACTCAAAATTCTAAAAAAGGAGGAACTTTCCGGGTGATCGCCACAGAAGCCCATTTTCGCGAAACACCCATTATTACTGTTGAACCCCAGAATGCTGAAATGAAAACCATCAATTTATCAAAGCAAGGTTATTTCACACCAATTTGAGGGTCTGAGAGATAATTTCAAGTAAGAGTCACGCACAAAATTTGCAATCTTGATTACATGCCTGGGGTCTTGTGCGACTTATTAATATTTTCCCTTCATCATATTCGCCTGTATATATAAACTATATAAAGATAAATCTTGCTTTGAGCCTAGAACCAGAATATCGACTGTCATGATTCATATAATATATATATAGGCCTATATAATAAACGTGAAAGACCAAAATTAATGCTCTAACCAAGTAGACCTATTCAGTGTGAGAGGTGTAAGAACTGTTGGAGGGCAAGATGCAGTGGTACTGAAAATATGCGAATCTTGTACAGAAAGCTAAAATATGATGCCACCAATCCAATGAAACGCGAACACTTAGGCCGTTTTCACACAAGGCCTGCACCCACGCACACTTTACTTAGCAGAGAGCTGTAGTAGTTATCAAAATTCTAAACATTAAACGTATTTGCTTCCAGTTTCAGGGTTTTTTTTGTCCACTGGTGTTGCGTCCAGCCCTCCCCCTATCCCCGAGTGCGTAGAGGTCTTTTAAAAAATCAATAATCCCCCCCCCCCTCTCCCTCCCCCATTCCTGAGTCCTGTACTTCGCAGCGCTCAGAACGCGCGCAGGTTCATTGACCGGCCACAATGGCGAGCCCGACAAGACGCTTGTATAACTTTCTTTTCTTAATGTTGCCCCTATAAGTGACGACACAGTGACAAATATTGATTTACTTTCATGGCGACACCACATTTGTAATGCCGAACCTGCATGTTACAATAATTGTTGCGTTATCAGACAATTACTGACAAATTTCTGGGTGGTAACGAAAGC